TATCTATCCATCCATTCACCCACCCATCCATCCATCTCTCATCCATCCATGAACTCTGTCTATATCTATCCATCCCTATTATGCAACTATCTATGTATTTATCTTCCATGTATCCATCTATTTTTCTGTTTATCCATCATCTTATTTATCTATCCATCCACCCCCCCATCCATCCATCTATCTCTCCATTCATCCATGAACTCTATCTATCCATCCATCCATCTTCCATCTCTTATTTATCTATTCATCCACCCACCCATCCATCCATCCATCCATTAACTCTATCTATGTATGTATCTATCTCTCCACCTATCTTCCATCCATCATATCTATCCATCCATCTACCCATCCATTCATCCATCTCTCCATCCATCCATAAACTTTATCTCTGTTATCTATTTATCCATCCATCCACCCACCCATCCATCATCCATTCATCTCTCCATCCATCCATGAACTCTATCTATCCATCCTCCCATCCATCCATCCATCCATCCATCCATCTCTCCATCCGTCCATGAACTCTACCTATCTCTATTATCCATGTATCTATGTATATATCTCTCTATTGCTATCATCTATTTAACTATCTAGGCATCTATGATCCATCTATGTACCTATGCATCTATCTCTATCATCCACCCATTTGTCTGTGTATCTAAGTATCCACCATCTGTCTACCATCTATCACGAATCTATCACCTATCCATGCACCTATCACCCCTATCTATGCCTCTATGTGCATATCTACGTATTTAGCAGCTAATTTTCTCTGTATCTATCATATCTACATATCCATCCACCATCCATCATCTGTCCATCCATCATCTCTTTTATCTATATTTGTATCCATCCTTCCATGCATTTGCTCCATCTATCTATCCATCATGGATCCATCCGCCCATCCACCTATCATCTCTACGATCTGTGCATTGATCATCTATGTATCTCCGTTGTCCATCCATCTCTGCCATGTACCTACCTATCATCACATCTCCACCTGCTCAAGGAAATATTTCCCTTCCTATTGTTTTTCTTTACCTGTGAGCTTACCCTCTGCAGGTCTCGTATTTTGTGAGACTTTGTTTCTGGCCATCCTGCCAAACACCTCCAGGTCTGGCTCTCCTCTGTGGGACGTTCAGGACTCAGCCTAGAGTTGTGTTGTCAATGACAATTTATTACAGCCAAAGGACAAAAAAACCAACAAAATCAAGAACCCAAGAAATGAATAGACCATACAATCCTTTGCATATGCAATTTTAAGAATATGCAAAACTAATTTTTATTCCTTCCTTCCTTCTTCCTCCCTCCCTCCCTCTCTCTCTCTCTCTCTCTCTTCTTTCCTTCCTTCTTCCTCCCTCCTTCCTTCCTCCCTCCCTTCCTTCCTTCCTCTCTCTCTCTCTCTCTCTCTCTCTCTCTCTCTCTCTTCTGTGCGGAGGGGTACTGGGGACTGAACTCAGGGGTCCTCAACCCCTGAGCCCCATCCCCAGCCCTATTTTGCATTTTATTTAGGACAGGATCTCACTGAGTTGCTTAGGGCCTCGCTTTGGCTGAGGCTGGCCTCCAACTTGTGATCCTCCTGCTTCAGCCTCCCGAGATGCTGGGATGACAGGCGTGTGTCACCACACTCAGCAAGATCTCACTTAAATTGCTCACATGTGGTACGATATTAACACAGAACATGAGTACTTAAAAAAAATACTGACTTTATAATGAGTTACCCAGGTGTATCCTATAATGAGAATCAATAAATTGCCCCAAATGTACACATTAATTTTGTTTTCCTTTTTATTTTTTCTCCCCCCGCCACCAAAAAAAAATGTTTTCAGGAAGCACTGGCTGTGGATGCCCCTATGCTGTCTGCTTGGTGGCCTGAATGGGACATTTGTGACATGGAACTCCAGGCCCAATATCGTCCTGCTGATGGCGGATGACCTTGGTTTGGGTGACCTGGGCTGCTACGGTAATAACACCGTGAGGTAAAGATGCCTTGTGGGATGTCCGCCTGCTGTGTCGGAGCCCGTGACCCACCCCATGTCACGGGGACACCACAGTCCAATGTCAGTATATTGGGGTGGGGGATAGCAGAGGTGGCCCAGGACGCTGGATGCAAAATGGATATTCATGCAGCATACAGTGGAGACTACAACATGCACGATGTGTCCTCTTGCATTTGGCTAGTTTAACTGAGCCTCATGGTCCTCAAGCTTTGTCCTCCTCAGAGACGATGTCGGAGCTTCCTACATTTCGTCTCTACTCACAGGAAATGCCCAGAAAAAGCTCAGATGTGTCTGTGGGATTGTGAAACTAACATGCTCAAGTTCATATGAGATCGTGACTGGATAGGCTTCTAGCCGCTTTTTAAAACTTAAAATTTTTCTCTATCCTTTTTTTTTTTTTTAAAAAAATCTGTAATCAGATTTACATAAAATTTTGTATTGATTTTGGAGACTTGAAAAGATTCAACAGAATGGGAAATAAATTCCATACTGTCACAATTTAGCTTAATTAAAGAGGCTGGTTTTTTTACAAGAAACCCATTAAAATTTTGCTTCATCTAAGTTCCTCGTTAGTTTTAGGAGAGTAATACCAACAAATGAACTCACTTTTCTATTGAAATGCACCTAAACTCAGACTCAAAATAAGTTATATCCACTAATAGTTTTGCCCACAGAATTGGTAGGACCCCCCCCGCCCCCTCCTTATTTTCAAGGATCTATTCCAAGATCCCAAGTGAATTTCTCAAACTTTGGAGAGTACTGAATCCTATATATGCTAATTTTTTCCCCTACAGTAGCAGGAGGGTAGCATATACAGGGTGGATACGCTGAACAAAAGGATAATACATGTCCCTGGCAGGATGGCTCAAGAATACATCGTGGTTTTCAGAACAGTGTGCAATTTAAAAGTAACTGTTTATTTCTAGAATTTTTCCACCTCATATTTTTGGACCAGGGTGGACCATGGGTAAGAGAAACGTCACAACCCCAAACCGCAGATAAAGAGTGAACTCTACTCTGTTCTCTGTCTGCTCGTAACTACCAAAGCATCTAACGGAGAAGAGAGATCAAGGTATCAGATAGATAAAAGAGTGTATTTTAAATTGGCCAGAAACAGTCATCTCAACCCAAAAGAGAACAACTTTGAATCTCAATTCTTTTTTGGGGAGGGATTGGAAACCCACCTGCTAAATTCTCTATATTTTTCCCTGCAGCACCCCTCACATTGACCGTCTGGCAAACGAGGGCGTGAGGCTCACCCAACACCTGGCAGCAGCCTCCGTCTGTACCCCGAGCCGGGCGGCTTTTCTCACTGGCCGGTACCCCATCCGATCAGGTAGGAGAGGAAAAAATGCAAGAGATTTTGACTCATGGAAATTTCTTTTCTTCTTTCCTTCCATCCTTCCTTATTTCCTCCCTCCCCTCCTCCTCCTTCTCTCTTTCTTCCTTCTTTTCTTCTAATTATTATTTAAATTTTATTTTGTAGGATTGGAGATTACACCCAGAACCTCCCACATGCTAGGCAAGGGCTCTACCACTGAGCCGCATCCCCAGCCCTTTTCAATTTTTATTTAGAGACAGGGTCTTACTAAGATGATTTGGGCCATGGTAAACTGCTGAGGCTGGCCTCCAGTTTGCAATCCTCCTACCTCAGCCTCCAGGGTTACTGGAATGACAGGTGCACATCACCACACTTGCCCAATAGTTCTATCTTTAAGTACTTCTGTAGAGATGCTGTCCCAGAATTATCCCGGAAGTGTCTCTGCATTCTCTTTCCCTTCCTCTTCAGTCCTTGTGACAAGGCAGCCATGTGGGAAGCAAGATAGACCGTGAATCACATCACAAGTTTGGATTTGAGATTTGAGGGATGGGAACCTGATGGTTTCTAGAGAGGAATCTAATGGGACTCTAAGGAGGGTTGAGTGGGGCACGGACAGAAATGAGAAGGGCTCCTCCTAAGATGACTGAGCGTTTCACTGTGACCAAAGAACATGACAAGAAAAAAAATAGAGGAATTAAAGTCTATTTTTGGCTCATGAGTCAGTCCATGGTTGGCTGATTCCATGGCTCTGGCCCAAGGGGAGGCAAAACAAAATGGCGGCAGGGCCTGGAGGAGGAGAGCCGCTCAGGACAGGGCACCAGGGAGCAGAGAGAGCTCTGCTCACCAGGGACAGGACAGAGACCCCAAAGGCACAGCCCAGGGACCCCCTCCTCCAGCCACACCCCACCTGCTGCAGTCACCACCCAGTGAGTCCATCCAAGTGGATTAATCCATCGAGTAGGTTATGGCCTTCATAATCAAATGATTTCACCTCTGAACGTTCTTGCACCGTCTCCCACAAAAGCTTTTGAGGGACACCTCATATGTAAACCATAACTCAGAGTTTGGTAGGAGGGACATCCTATGGTAAATTGGGACATTGTCCGCTTGAAGCCGTGTCCCCAGATTGTGGCTTCAGGGATGAGAGTCAGAGTATTTCATGCAGGTAGTTACCCAAACATGGCGCTGGGTTATGCTGGGCTTGGCTGACAAGGGTTGAAGCAGTTTGGTGTTGGAGTGTCCGTTCCACATGCTGAAATGATTGAGGTCCGCAGGTCTGTTGCTCCCTAGTTCTGAAGTTGAAGGCACAAATTTACTTCAGGAGAAGAGATGGAGATGAGCGGTTTCCCTCTCTAGGCAAGTTGAAGGTCAGCCCTGTCCTGAGCTGCTCTCCTCCTCCAGGCCCTTGCGCCATTTTGTCCTGCCTCCCCTTGGGCCAGAGCCATGGAGTCAGCCAACCATGGACTGACTCATGAGCCAAAAATAAACTTTTCTTCCTCTTATTTTTTTTTTTCTTGTCACGTCCCGTGGTCACAGTGAAACAGTCATCTTAGGAGGAACCCTAAGTGTTTGGTACATGTCGATGCTAAGAATAGTCATGCATTGTTAATGTGAAATTCAGACATAACGGAAGTCCTCTATTGATGTAATCTAGGGACTAGGGTCTTAAAGGAACGCCAACCAAGTGGGAGGAGGACCCATATCTATAGCTTGAATCAACCATGGATGGACGATTTATTTTAAAATAATATTGTGTGTATGCTAAAAATGTATGGACTTTTTCTTGTTACTCTTGAAAAAATAGTGTGTGCGAACTCTTGGCACACCATTTGCATTAGGTATTATAAATAATTGAGTGTGGATTTAGAGCGTATGCAAGGGTGTGCATTGCCAGGCCAAAGCTGAGCCTTGTTTTACAAGCAGCAGCATTGGTGGGTTTCGGCACCCAAGGGGTGGTCCCTGGACCCGGTCCCACGGAGACACACAGGGTTGCTTCTGCAGCTATGAAAGGTCGACGATTCTACGGGACCAAAGGACATTGTTGGGGGGCAGGGTGGGAGAATTTGGAACGTGTCGGGGTGAGCCCTGGAATTTCGCAGAGGCGATAACAGAAAGGTCGACGGCGCTGCTCACCTGTCACTTTTTATGAACTCAGGAATGGCTTCGTCCAATGGCCTGAACCGTGGCCTCCCCTGGCTCGGTGGGTCCGGCGGGCTGCCCGCCAACGAGACCACCTTGGCCAAGCTGCTGCAGCATCGGGGGTACCGCACGGGGCTCATAGGTAGGTCCCCGTAAAATGAGTGAATAATAAAAAAATAGAAGACGGAGGGGGACCCGTAAAGTGGAACAAATGACACAACTGAGGGATTGTACCGGGGGCGTCCTGCGCTCGTGATGGGTTCCCTTGATGAGCGGCTCTTGGAGAAAAACCCCACCTGGAGAATTCCGTCCACTTTCCAATGAGACAGACGGAGGCGTGATGGCACCCTCAAAGGCCACCAGGGAGACCAAGAGGAGGAGGCCACCACGATCAGAGTCCCAAAGCGACGATTGACACCCCCCAGGGTGGTCACGGTGGACGCTGTGACCGGTGGACTTTTCTTCTCCTTCCAGGGAAGTGGCATCAGGGCTTGAGCTGCGCCTCCCGGGATGACCACTGCCACCACCCCCTCAACCACGGCTTCGACTACTTCTACGGGATGCCCTTCGGGCTGCTGAGCGACTGCCAGGCGTCCAAGGCCCCGGAGCTGCACCGCCAGGTGCGCCTCCGGCTGTGGATCTCCACCTTGGTCCTCGGCCTGGTGCCCGTCCTGCTCCTGCTGCCCCACCTGGCCGGCTGGCTCTCGGTGCCGTGGAGCGTCATCGTCCTGTCGGCCCTGGTGGCTCTCCTCTTCTTCGTCTCCTGGTACTCCAGCTACGGCTTCGTGCGGCGCTGGAACTGCATCCTGATGAGGAACCACGAGATCGTGCAGCAGCCCATGAGGGAGGAGCGGGTCTCCGTGCTGATGCTGAAGGAAGCACTCGCCTTTATTGACAGGTCGGCCGTCCAGTCCTGGGGGCTTTATTGCATTTGAATTTGTGTAGGACTCGATGAAAGGGACTGTGACAAAATTTTTTCAGGGTGACATTTTAGATATTCTTAAATTTCTCCTTGGATAGAAAAAAAAAACACAGAGTTAAGTTTCCTACCATTTTTGCATGCAATTTCCTCCCCTGCTCTTGTCCATAAAAGTGGGGTGAGAGTATTTTAACGCAGATCCCCTCTGCGGGGATGGGTGTGCAGATAGATTGAAATTAGTGGGTCTTAGTTTTGCTTTTCCTTAGAGACAGACGGAGGAAGACATCTCTGTCCGCCAGCTGCTGGGGAGGGTCCCTGAGCTGATGGAGACCTAGTTTTAAGATGTTTAGGTTCCTTACGAGCTACGTGTATGTTCCAGGCATCATGAAGCAGGAAGAGGAAGGAATGAAAAAAGAGTCGTTTCTATAAATGTCGCCTCGTATATTTATTTATGTGCCCCTGTTCGCCCTCGGTTGGTAATTATTCACCCAGATGCTCTAGATGTATTGGTGTCTAAGAATCATATTCTGTCCAGAGATGCCAGAAGAGTTCAGATATTCAACAACCCGTTCAATGGCCAAACCTGTGCTACCAGGGAATAAAAGAAGAAATCACCTTTTTGGTCAAAAGACCTGACAAACACAATGTAGAAGAGGAGAAGTTGACCTGGGGCTCATGATTTCCAAGGTTCACTCAATGGCTGGCCAAATCCATGGCTCTGGCCCAAGGGGAGCAGAACAAGATGGCGGCAGGGCCTGGAGGAGGAGAGCAGCTCAGGACAGGGCACCAGGGAGCAGAGAGAGC